CCAGTTTGTGCAGTTAACAATAGACCCGGCAAGAGTTTTTCCAAATTATTTTTTTTTCTTTCCCCTTAATTTTTTATCAAGAAAAGAAAGAAAAAGATGGCTGATTTTGAAAGCTGTCACAGGAAAGAGGGTTATTTACTTATTTATTTATTTTTTTAACTGTCAACCCATCCCATTACAACAATTAAAAAATAAATTATTTTCCGGGTCATAATTACTCCTTAGCTTTAAAATGTAATTCATTTCTATTTAGAATGTAGAAAGAATCATAATCAAAAATGGTATCTTTGACTGACATGCACTGATTTTTATTTTTATTTATTTATCTTTTTATCACTTTGCAGAAATTGTCAAGATTATGAATTTTCCTCTCAATTTGAGACAGGGGAAAAATCGGTTGTTGCGTGATTGGAAAGCTATTTCCTAGTCAGCTGTGGTCAGAAGTAGGATCAACTGTAAAAGGTAAGGCCACAAATCGTGCAGAGACTCATACGTTTCATGAGTGGCCCTGCTGATTTCAGTGATTCTTGTGCGCCAACTTAAGCAGATGTCTGGTTTTGTGTCAAAGTCTCCGGACCCCCTGGACTCAATCTGTGAGAGCATCAACACTCAGCTTTGTTATCTGATAACCTCACTTCAGAAGCTCCATTACCGAATGTTAGGCCAACAGATGACTAAGCTTCGAGTTGTTGTTGTAGAGAAGGAAACTTCTTTCTCCTTCTGGGGAGATATTTCACATTGAAAAAAAAAATACAACCCAAAGTTTAAATCTTTTCAATATAGACTGAAAATTGTGTGTACCTAAATTTGTGAAGAACCTTGATGGTGTGTGATGGGCAGATGTTTTGCAAGGACAGCTGAATGCCTGCAAAAGGTTTTGAGTAAAACCTGCATATATTTTTCATTAACAAATTGACATTTTTTTTTAAGACATTGGCCACACCCATTCACTTATTTCATTGCTATGAAGCCTCTCAAGTTGAATCATAGGACAGTAGGACCGGAAGGAACCTCCCAATGTCATGTGCAAGCTCTAGGTATTCCAGATGTGTAAACCCCAGATGTGTGAATTACCTATCAATATGCATCTATTCATTGGGCTTCGCTGTACCGTAAGCCATAAGAGATGATGTATAGAAATAATTGAATGCAAAGATAAAACTGTGTATTTTCTTTCCCCCTTGATTTTTTCAAGTTTGAAAATGCTGAAACTCACTGATTTTAATTGCTCAAAAAAAAAAAAAAAAAAAAA